TAAGCCTAAGTGCTATTGCTACGTGTGCCTCCCTATCTAAGAAATTTAGGAACTGGGGGCAGAAATTCTCTGATCTGCTAATATCAGATATATGATCATCATTTTGATCATCTTTTATCAGCCCCCAAACCCCTCCACAATTATTGGCATTTTTCCGGCAATTAAACTCCACATATATATGAAAGGTGCCCATTTGACAAAGCTATCCTAAAGTTACCCAGGATACATTTCTATATTTCCATATCTAAAACAAAGAGGAAAAAAAACAATATAAGAGTGAAGAGTAGATGTGTCTATGGCCCCGTTAGAGTGATCAATAGCCAACCCATGAAAAACTTGATACAATAAAGCATATAACACCTTAAGTTGAAATGAAAGGTCAACTACAACCAGTTTCAACTGTTTCAGAACAGGATGAATTGGCCAGTGATTATCACCCTTTGACGTGACTATGAGGCCAGATATCTTGATTCTTTTGACACTCCACAGAATCATTTTCCACCATGTGAAACAGTTCTCCAAAACTAGCCTTGCCATTTCATAGTATCTTTCTGAATTCTCACTTGAGTAATATTATTCTTCCAACTTTTCATTACTTTATTTTGATGTTACTTCTGTTGGATCTGGTACATGCATTAGAAGACCCAAGTATAATCGATAACTTGTCATGTATAAACTATCCTTTGCAATAAAGCATATTTATGCATTCATGGAGACAGATATAAATGTAAAATAAAGACCCTTAACATGACAGGTAGTGACTATTTTTTGGTCTGGAAATAATAATTAGGAGAAGACATTGATGATCTTTTGAGCAAATCTCCATAATGTTATTCTTTGTGAAGCACTTCTTATTCGAAATCAATGTTTGTATTATTTCTGTGTTTTGCTTCCATTAATTTCAGATTATTTTTACCTTTATGGATTTCTTTCTTCTTCCATGTTAAGTTTATGCTAAACACATCCAAACCAACTAGTTTAAGCAACCAGAAAATCGGCTTAAGAAAAATAAAAATGAACGGATTTGGAGGATCCTTCAGCTAAACCTGGAGTGTATTTTAAACAGATGCATCCTGTTTAACATATTGTGCTAAATCAAAACACACCTGGTTTCTCAAACAGCAGGAAGATCAGATAAACCAATATGTTATATGGATACGTGGCCAAATTTCACAAGCCTCACGAGATCTTGAATATCTTGCTCCTGATGTTTGTAAGACAAACATTGAGATCATTGTGAAATGAAAAAAGGAAGACAAGCAACAAAACGTGTCCAGTCATTAATCCTATGACTTTTCTTGTGCCTTTCATATTGGCATGCAATTGTTTCTCAACCTCACCAACTTGAAAATGGGTGGACAACAACTCCCAGAATTGCTCAGTCAGCCATGCTGGCTGCAGAATTCTGGGAATTGAAGTACACACATCTTCACATTGTTGAGAAACACTGGCATGCAGCACTGGCAATGTTTGTTCACAATGGCAATATTCATGTGATTGCAGTTAGCAGTAGGCATCTATGAGCAACTAACTCTCTTGAGTTTGGGTGATCTTGCAAAACTAATACTTTCTCTTTCCCCTTAAGGTGTGTCACAGGCACAGCAGTGCTTTGCTAATTTCCCCATTTAAAAAGTAAGGAAAGTATTGGAAAAATAAGAGGACCATCATATGCTGATACTATTACAAATAAAATTACTACAAACAGCCTAGCTAAAATTATTACTTACTAGACTACTCATGCCCCATTGAGTCATCATTTCAGAGAGATTTTCTTACCTAAACCGAAAAACATTATGACCAAGGGAGGACAAAAATGCAGTGGGAACAGGAGTGACTTTCAATTTTTCCTGCCAACTTCCCTACTTAGTTCCCCCATGGGAGTCTGGCAGGAATCATAAATCCCCTTCCCTTCCCTTCCCTTNTGTGTGTGTGTGTGTGTGTGTGTGAGAGAGAGAGAGAGAGAGAGAGAGAGGTGGCACTCTCATAGAACAAACCATTGTCAACAAAATGGTCAAAGTTGCAATAATTCAGCGGATCTATATTAAGTCTGAACTGGAAGATGTTACCTTTTATATTTCAATCTTCCAGGTAGATCCAATTGCCACCTTATCTCTGTGAAATAGCAATAGCATTTAAACTTATAACCTGCTTCTTAGTGCTTTACAGTCCCCTTTAAGCGGTTTTACAGAATTAGCATATTGCCTCAAACAATGTGGTCCTCATTTTACCAATGAGGAGGATGGAAGGATGGAAGTCTCAGTCAACCTTGAGCCTGATGAGATTGGAACTAGCAAACTGCAGGCAGCCAGCAGGCAGCAGAAGTTTCCTGCAGTGCTACTTCCTAACCACTGTCCTCTATAGCTTCTCTGAATAAAGCTTAAGTTGTGTGTTTTCATTCTCAGACCTGTGAATAAGGGCAAGAACACCGGAGTAAACAGTGTCTGCTGCTACCGTAGAAATCCTACAGCTGCCCTTTTTGATCGAGTGAACATATATCACAAATTCAGAAATGAGACCAATGGTTTCACCAAGATGAAGAATTACAACTTGGACCCAAACAGCTTTTTTGTTAATGGTAAGAAGATGACTTTCATGACTAAACAGGTTATTTATTTATTCATTTGTTTATTTAGGAAATTTATAATGCTGCCTATTTGCACAGGTTATCAGGTTATGAGGTTCGCTGGCACTGAATCAGTTTTGACCAATGTTATGTAACTTAAGTGGTAGTTCCTGTCTATGTCACCATCGGGAGATGCCAGAGGGCTACAAGACTTCATTTAGCTCTACCAAATTCAGGCTATATAAATCTAGATCACCATAATAGGGCAGCAGTGGTTATTAACTCCTCATGGTCATTTGGAGTTTTGCTCTCCATAATGTTGGCTCTGTTCTTCTGGATTAGTTTTCCTGTTATTTTGCTATCCCAGGACCATCTTAGAAGTGATCATTGGACTAAGTAGACACTTTATATGGAGTTAATTCACAGTGCCCTACTTAAATTAACGACTGTTGCTATTTGGGGACCTTTAGAATAATTTGCAACCCTACTCTATGAGATTTGTTGACATGGAGTAGTTGAAAGTGTGTAGGAGGAATTTATTGTATCTTATTTTTCTCATGGAGGAGAGCTTGAGAGCGATTTCCCATATCAGTATACTCTTGTGACTTATTTTGTTACTCCCTTTCCATTTTTGCAACTCTCTTTCCATTTCAGATTATCATGAAGAATTACCTCAGACCAGTAAGTACACATTTACAGATGTTTCATGAGCCATACACTCCAAGTGTGGTACACAATCTAAAATGTCCAACCTTGTCCCAAATATACTGATTGCAGAGCAGTATGGCAGTATGCTCTAGTGTAGAGGCTTTTGTCACAGGCAATGGGTGATAACTACAGGGATGTAGGAGCAGATTGAATATTAGAAGATTTTCCAGACAATAGAAATTGTCAACTAGTACACTATGTCACTTCCCAAAATGGTGTGTTTATTAGAGATCTTCAAACAGAGAGTGGATGCTGATTTCTGATATGCCAACTCTGATTATGACAAATAGGAATTTTTCTTTAACACTGAACAAAAATCTGGCTTGTGAATTTATTGTGCCTCTTGGGAATTTACAGAACAGGCCATGCCCTTCTGTACAGCACTTCTTTACATTCTTGAAAGGTTTTACCATAGTTCTGCTCAGACCTCTGTTCTACGGGGTTAACCCATCAATTTTCTATTGCACAACTTGGTTTCCAGCCCCTGCTCGTCCTTCTTGCCCTTTTCTGGATCCACAACAGATGAAGAATAATAGATAATTTCAAACTGTGAAAAGCATTTGTTTGTTAGCTTCTGTAATTCACCTCTAAACCCTATGTCCATAACACGAACTGCAAGATACAAAACAGTGGTTGATTGATAGATTATATGCCATATAATTCTGCTTTTCATATATGAAATACATTATTTCTCTTCCAGCTGTTTCTCCCACTTCCAAACCTTCAGTGGCAACTGAATGCTTTACACTCAACTTCACTACAAATAATTTGAAGCATAGGACACAGATGAGTATTCCCAAGTCAAAGCTCTTCAACTCAACAGAAAGACTCTTCAGTAAATTGGTGAGAGGACGAATGTATGCTTACGCCAGTAG